TTTCCTTCTACTTTCTTTTGAATGTATACATGTAAACAATACAGAATAAAATATTTATCTTAGTAATTCTACAAGAATGGTTTCGATCAGTAGAAAATATTCTTAGTGAGAAGAGAGCACTGTGTCACAGTTTAATTGGCACTGTTTCTTAGTGGTATATTAAATAATGATTGTTTCAAAATATTAGATTAAATACAGCATATTTCCTAAATACACACAGATACACAGGCACAATGTAACACACGTAAGTGTGTGTATGTGTGTGTATAAAACAGATTCATATTATAAGTTGCTAATTAGTGAATCAAACATGTTCAAAGTCAAGTTATCTTTGAAATTTTGTTCAGACAATTTGAATTTTGGAATCTGACAATTTAAAACTATAATTCTTCAGGTTACTAGTTATAAACATAGAACATAGCACGCAACTTTCTTAAATAGCTAAAAATAATATATATCTTCTAGAATGAGAACTGAATGCTTTTTGCAAAATGTTTAATTCCAAAATATTAGGTCATGCTTTCTATGTTTTCCTAAAATTTAGTTATTTGCTATGAAATAACACAGCAAATAACAAGCGCAGAGCTCAGAGGTCATTTTGACAATTCTCTTAAAATTTTCATGCAAATAACGTGTCTGTGCATATATCCCTTTAAAATGAGTATCTGGGGGGCCTCCCTGGTGGTGCAGCGGTTGAGCGCTGGGTTGCGAAGCTGCCCGCGGCCTCTGCGGCGCCGGTTCGATCCCCGGCTGCTCCCCGGCCACCAGAGGAGGGTCCCACATGGCGCGCAGACCTCTCCTGCCGCCCGCTGCTCCTCTCAGCAGTGTACTTCGGTCCTTCTGCCTGCTCTGGTGAATTCTCTCACCCTCCCGCGCTTCTGACTGTACCCAGTGCATGTATAAACAAACAAACAAATAAATAAATAAATAAAACATGCCTCTATTAAAAAATAAAAAAAAAAAAATAAAATAAAATGAGTATCTGGGAGGGGTATTACTAGATCACACTGTATCAATTTTTCATATTTTGAGTAACCTCCATTTTGTTTTCCTAGAGACTGAACCAGTCTATTTTCTCACTAATAGTAGGAATACATCCTCTCCATCACTTGTTTCTGGTCTCTTTGACATAGGTCTCTTTGACATAGGTCTCTTTGACACAGGTATCTCACATGGTTTTGATTTGCATTTCACTGGTGGTAAGTGATGATGAGCATTTTGTTCATATGCCTGCTGGCCAATCTATTTATATGTCTTCTTTTGAGGACAGCCTGTTTGGCTCTCCTACCCATTTTTTGATTTGGCTTTTTTTTTTTCTTATTTTGAGTTGCCTGAGTTCTCTTTATATCTTGAATATCAGGGCCTTCAGATGTATGATGTGCCATTTTCTTCCATTTACTTGGGTATCTTTTATTTAATTAATAGTTTCTTTCACTGTGTAGAAGTTTTTTATTTTCCCACAGTTCCCTAGAAATCTGACTGTAGAACTACAAGTAGAGTCTTGTACTTCTACTTGTAGAGGCTACAGACAGGCAGGGAATGATGGAAAAATACACTGTGGAGAGGGCTCAATGGACTCTATTGAGGACGGGGGTGCCTGGTCGTGCTGGTTGTGTGGGGACATGCATCTGAGGACGTGTGAGCTACACCTCTAACCACATACAGGGTAATAAACCAGTGTTACTGGAGGAGAAAAAGAGTATGTGCGATATTTTCATTCATATTAATCAAATATAGGATTAAATGCCTTCATTGCAAGGAATACATATAATGCTTTGATGGATTTGATACCTATTAAAAACTCAAATGTCAGTTTAAAAAGGATTACTGAGTTTGACAATATTTCAAGAGACTCTTTTGAACAAAGGTTTTTATAGTGTAATAACTATTTAAAATTGATTGTGCCATTGAAACTAGATGTTTTCAATACCTCTGTAATAAGCATAAGCTATAAAAATGAGCTCTCATCCTAATAGTGTATTATAATATTTCTACTGATCAATAGCCACTTATTGTTGTCATTCTTTAGCACAGACCACCAGAAAACTTTCATATTTTAATAGGTTCATCATACAAATGAGTGTGGAGCTCCTATATGAAGAGGTAATTATAAAATTGAAGTCCTTTGTAGTTTAATTTTTGTGTTTTTAAGAGCCCCTGAATTCTTAAGGGTGTAATTCAAAAGGCATAACATTAATAATAGCTTCTGATATTAAAATTATACCACAAAAATGTACATGCTCATGAGAAAAGAAAGCTTCAAAAAGTTTAAAACAAAGAAGTAATATGCTTAGTTGAATTAACACAATAAATTAGGAAATGCCCAAAGATTATTGTCATTTTAAAACATTCCTTACATTTAGAAAGTAATTAGCACAACTTCTGCAACAAAATTACAGAAATACTTGGAAGAATCCTTTACATAATCTTTATTTACCATTACAAATAAATTGTCATCCTACTAATCACAGGGGTAATCTGAGGTTTACAATTTTTGATCTTTTAGTATTTCAGAGAAAGTAACATTCTCATAAACAAAAAAATACTGGACTCTTTTCCTTTGTGTAATAATAGAATTAATCAAATAGATAAAACTAAAGGGAGCATCAGATAAAAGTGCATTCCATTAAAATAAATCTATAAAAGGAATTAAATAAACTACAGTTAGTGTAGTTAAAAGACTGAGGGCCTCTAAGATGAAAATGACAATCTTTTAATAGAATTAAAATTGCAATCTAATCTCTGGTGGTCATCACAGTGATGTCATCTTTACTTTCAGTATCACTAGATGGATGGTTTCTGAGACATTTAGAATTATTTACTTAAGGAATTTAATACAATGAAGTTTGAAAAAATTCCTCAACATATTTTTTAAGATATATTGTAATAAGACATGATCTCTCAACAAGGCAGATTGCAGTTGGGCAGAGGAAGCTAATTAAAGGCATGATAACATTCGTTTACAGACACTCACTATCTAGATGAAATTTGGACAGAGGGGCATGGTACTAAGGGAATATCTAGAGGATATAGTCCTATTCAGAAGCACAGATTAAAACAGATCCTGTAGCTCCTAAACTAGTTCTATCTTCCTATTCTCCCTTCCCTTACATGTGCAAGTAATTTTTTGAAAAATTCCCATTCTCGATCAAAAGATAAATCTACATTGGTATTTTGAAAATTGAGATAAAGCTTCCCCTGGTGGCGCAGTGGTTGAGCACTGGGCTGCGAAGCTGCCCACAGCCTCTGCAGCGCAGGTTCCATCCCCGCCCCACGGCGAGGGTCACACATGGCGCGCAGACCTCTCCTGCCATGCCCGCTGCTCCCCTCAGCAGTGTATTTTGTCAATCTGCCTGTTCTGTTCCCTGCTCTGGCTCTGGTGAATTCTCTCACCCTCCCGCGCTTCTGACTGTACCCAGTGCTTGTATAAATAAATAAATAAATAAAATCTTAAAAAAAAAAAAAAAAAAGAAAATTAAGAGAATACAAGTTTTCCAGAGCTTCTGATTATATATGATAAACAACAACACCGAGGTAGTATGATATTAGCCCAAAGCAACTTGTAATTTTGAGAAGAGTGAAAATTTCTGAGCAGATGAACTATTCACAAGTTTCTCAAATGTTTACTACTGTTTCTAAACCTTAATTATACATGAACATTCTTAGAACTGGAGGAACTTCCTTAGAATTAGTTACATAACACAACCCCTTCTCTGAGAAGAAAATGAATTCAATTAAACTACTTACCTATATTCAGAAGCGAGTTAACAACAGAGTTGTACATTGATCTTTGCACAGAACTGTATTTATACGGTTGCATTTCATAATCTTTAGAAATCTGATCAGCAGATGTTGCTAGCCATAATGAAGCAAGAACCCAGGTTCCCTGACTGCTCTTCCAAAGAGTAGATGTCTTGTCACTTGTCTTATTCCATTATGCAATACGTTTATACCTCTAGACTGACCATTGTTTTTCCCTTCCTGAATTTGTAATGTCATTTAACAGACTAACATATATAGAAAAATGCTTAACTCCCCAGAGGATTCTACTTCTTGACAAATACTTATATTTAATGATACACCTTTAATTGGATTACTTTTTAGCACAGGAGTATACCAAGTAAATTCTCATTGGTGTTATACTGACCATGTATAGAAAACTAGAGTATCTTAGAATATTCTGAATTGTTTTGAAATAATTCTAAATATAAGCACCTTGTATGTGGAAAAAATAAGGTAAGCAGTTACACTGCTACTTTATAAAGTTGTGCAAAATTATATATACACACATATAAACATGGAAATATAAATATAAAGCTAATAATATTAATAAAAGCATAAACCTGCTATTTCATTATAGGAAGTATAGAACAGTAAATCTATTGTACATTTATGCTCCTTAGAGCATTATATTTCTTTGTTTCTTTCAATTAACTAATATATACAAAGTCAATAAACTAATACATTTATATCATCAGTTGTTTGGTAAGAGTATTACAGAGTATTATTTATCAATTTTAAAATTATAAGGATCATACATGATAAATTCTGATACCAAAGGTATCACATTGAGGTGCATTTCAAATGTATTAAGATTATAAAACAATCCCGAAATGATCAAGACTACAAAAAAAAAAATTTGAAGATAAAAATGAGTTTATCACTCAGCTTTTAAATCACAATGGAAACAGTATAAAATGGCCTTTATGACTAATTACCTAGAGCTTGAAAATTATTTAATCAACAGAAGTAATATTTGCATTCACTATAAATTCAAACACTATTTTAGAAAAACTGCCATTTACCAATGCCTCTACAGATAGTGATTTAAGATAGAAATATTTGTTCCAAAGCTTAAAAGATACTAGATTTATTATTCAATCTTAATAAATAAAATTCATTTGAAAATTTGGACTTGAAAGAAGCATATTAATTAAGCAATGAGAATCTGTATCTTTGCTCAGATCTTTACTCAAAACATTAAATAACAGCACTGATACCTCTCTCCGCCGAGAAGCCCAGCAGGTTTGCTTGATCTTCCACACCACAGCAGCCACCAGTAATAAGGATAAAAAACAACTGTAACACAGAACACAACAACATTTTGCTTATAAAATCTGAAATATGTAAGGAAATGCTAATACGCAGAGGCTTTAAAAATATATAGATGTAATAAGCACTTTGCCTTGGTAAATAATTCAAGCAAAAACCAGTACCTTAGTGGTTTTTAAAATGTTTTCAAGTAAAACCAACATATACATGTAGGGAAGATTATTTATATTTCTTCTATAAATTAGAGTCTATCTTTAAGATAATCTGTCACAAGGAATGTAAATTTATGTTATTGGTCTTATGAAGAAACAGAAATCTATGTAAAAATTGTATTGTCATAAAACAAATTTTATAAAGTCAAATATCACACATATTCATTCATTTTATCTTTATTAGCAACTAGTTTTATCTATGAGACTATTTCAGACATAAATTTGATATTTAAATACCAAAATGGGGCCTCCCTGGTGGCGCAAGGGTTAAGACTGCATCATGAGTTCAATCCCTGGCCAGGGAGCTGACCCACATGGCACAGCAGACCTCTCCTGACTCACCCCCTGCTCTCCTCAGCAGTGTATTTCAGTCAATCTGCCTATTCTGTTCCCCACTCTGTCTCTGGTGAATCCTCTCATGCCCCACACTTCTGGCCTGTACCCCAGTTCTTGTATGTATAAATAAATAAATCTAAATAAACAAATACCAAAATGGATTTGTATTTGATAATCCACAATTCTCAAAGGAAAGTGAGAATTTTCCACTGAAGCTGAGAATTAAGCTCCCCTCCTGCCTTCAGGAGACATTTGTCAATGTCTGGAGATGTTTGTGATCAATGTTACTGGGATGGGGGTTACAGTTCTCATCTGATAGGTACAGACAGGATACTTCTAAACATCCTGCAAAGCACAGAAATGCCTGCCATGGCAAAGAATTAGCCAGCTCACAGTTGTATGAAGTTGAGAAACCCTGACCTATGTTAATGTTTAAACTAAGAGATAATTCAGTTACAAAACTTATACATGTAGTCTATACATATCAGGCGCAATATTCAATAAACTATGGTAATGCAGAATACACTGTTAGTAATAATTTGAGATTGATAAATCTCAAAATCAGGTTTGTATGTATCTGCTTAATTTGTCCCAACCCTGTATCACTGTTTATATTCCTTTGCTCTGTTATCAAAGAATATGGCATTAGAAAGCCAAAGGTCAGCAGACCCGGGCTACTAAAATTCATTGGTCACAGCAAAAAAAAACCTGGTCTTCATCTTAATAGATAAACTTTGTTCATCAATTATTCACTTATAAGCAGTACAATTTTTGACACATTCCACTCTTGTCAAGTCTTTAGTGTATTTTTTTCTCCTTGACGTACTTGGAGAAATTAGAATACCTTTCAGTGATGATGGCAATGACAGTGATAATTCTAGTCCTGTCCACCAAATGCTGAACACATTTAGACTGCTGGATACTTCACACTGATGATCAGACTGAGATTTATAAGAGCACTTACAAATATACTATTCTTATTTCAGAAAAGAAGAATCCAGTGCTCAGAGAGTTCTAAATCAATTGTTTCTACTCTAGTCACACAAGGAGAAAGGAGTAGAGCCCAAATTAAAATCCAGCCTTGACTTCTTCCCTCGTCAACATAGGGCGTGTGAGCCTGCTGGCTATCTAGCAACAGCAATATTTCCACATCCATTCTAGAATCCTTTCTCCAGCATCAAAGGAAGTGGATTTATTATTCCAAAGCCTGTGACCTGATCTTTTCCAACCTCCAAGGTGCCTTTTTGGGTTTTTGTATCACTACTTTTCTCTCTACTATTTATAAACTCTTTCTATTTTATTTTAATGTAACTTTCAGAAATACTCTTATTTCTCACAAATAAAAACAATAACACTACTGACCTCAAGCTTCCTCTAGTTGAAACTACTCATCAATGTAGCCACCTCAGTGTCCATTCCCTCATAATCTAGTCTCCTTGTAACCTGCCATCTGGCTTGTATACTAATAAAAATGTCAAGCTTAACAATGATTAATGTTTATGAAATATATTTGACATTTCAGAGGATACTTCACTCACCATGACTTTCTACAGATGACTTACCTCTAACAACTGACTTTTACTTCCACTCACAATAACAACCACCCATTCTTTTTGTTTATTTTACTGTTTAGTTATTTATGTAATGTTGGTTTACAATACTGTACATGTCTTAGGGATCCAGGGTCACACCTCTTTGTCTGTACATTACCACACACCCCACCACCAAGGCACCAATCATCACAGTCCACTGAGGCCACCCCCTTTGATCCCAAGCTCCTCCTCCTCTATAGTCTCAGTTCTGCAATAAGATTCCAAGTGTGAGTTTGGGCAATCCTTTTCTTTGTTTCTTTATATGCTAATCTGAGTAAAATCATGCCCATCTACTCATCCTTTGACACTCCTTCTCAATACACTATTATCTGGGTTTTCATACATCCTTTCTGAAACTCTCGTCAGGAAAGTTGGAGTGTGTTGCAGATTCCCTCTTTTAAATCATGGACATTCCTTTAAACTCAGTTCTAAAAACCATATTGTTTTTACCCCTTGTATTCAAAGGGAGGACTCTGCTATTCTCATAGCTTCAACTTGACCTCAAATGGACGATTTCCAAATCTGTATCATTAGACCTGCCAAAACGAGAGTGTTCTATTATTAAAGGGATCTAAGAGATTATTTATTTCAAACTCCCTCCCAGGAAAGAAATTCCCAGCACAGCTCTGTTAGTGATCTAGCCCCCTAATTAAATACTCATCATAGCTGAGAAGCGGCTGACTCATAATCCATGCATTCTATTTTTAGCTAAATCAAACTATGAAAATATTCTATTAAGCTGTCTTTCTAACTTTTATCAATCAGAGCTGCTTCTTCTCTCTCATGGGTTAATTATACTGAACAAGTCAATTCCTTCTCCTGTGTGCCAAAACTTCTTTACGTATTTGAAGTAGTCAACATGATTCCCTGCAGTCCAGTGCTTCTCAATCAGGAGAGCTTTGCTCTCTCTCAAGGACATCTGTCAGTGTCTAGAGACAATTCTGGTTGTCACCACTTGGTGGACATCTAGTGAGATGCTGGTAAACACCCTATAACAGTCCTGTCCACCCCAACAAAGATTTTTCCAATCCAACATGGCAATAGTATGACAAACCACATTCAAGTGGGAATTTCTACCACAGTGGCTATACTTCCCTTGCTATATCCAGGTTAACAATGTAACTATCGAGTATGGTTCTGTGAATTGAAACTTTAGATAGAGTCCAATAATCCATTCATCTGAATTTCAGTCCTACCCTATATTCTCAAGAATTTTAACAGAAGAAATACAAACACGAGCTCAAACCTTCTATGTCCAAAGTGAACTTGTGAAAACATTCATAATAATAAAAGTAGCTGTCATCTGCTGAGTAATACCTATCAAACACAGTGTTACATGTTTTACATGCATTACATTAATTACCACGACCACACACAATATATCTGTATGCTATTATGCACTCATTTAAAAGATAAGAAAGCTGACTCATGGAAAACTTAAGTAAATTGCTTGAATTACAAAAGTATTAAATTGCAAGGTCTTTCTCCTGACTTGTTTCACCATTAATTGCCAGCTAAAATGTAAAAACATTCAATTTATCATCGCTTAGACTCATTCATACATCAAATTCTGTCAACACTTTCTTTCCAAACACCTGCAATAGTAGATAAAAACATACATCAAAATTCATTTACATTTATTAGTTAAATACAACTTAAATACCATAACATTTTTATTGGATAAGCTACAATAACTCCCCAAATAAATGATCATATAATACAGATTCAGTTTAAGATAGTGAAGACGCTGAATTTCTTTTTTTTTTAAACATTTATTTATTTATATAAGAACTGGGGTACAGGCCAGAGGCACGGGAGGGTGAGAGGATTCACCAGATACAGAGCAGGGAGCAGAACAGCAGACTATCGAAAACACTGCAGAAGGGAACAGCGGGCAAGACAGGAGAGGTCTGGCGCACCATATGGGTTTCTCCCTGCCTGGCCCGGAATCGAAACCGCACTGCAGAGGCTGTGGACAGCGCCATAACACTGCGCTCAACCCACTGCACCACCGGGGAGGCCCACTTGCTGAATTTCTTCATGAAGAATTTGAATTCACTGTGATTTAAACTTTGTGACTCAAGTAAAGAGTGTCACTTTTGTAACATAATTTAAATTAGCAGAGAAAGCACATGTTGCAAGCGCATAAAATATTTCTCTCTTCTCAATAAAAGGAAACTGAAAAGTTTTATACTGGCTTTCTAGACATTGAATGAGAAGAAACTTCTATTATATAAAGTGTCCAAGAATTCGGGGTTTATCTGTTCCAGTTAGCTTTTCTCTAATGTATTTGTGAAATTAAATGTTTTAATGGGCAACCTCAAAAATCAACATTCTTTAATCTAGTAATGTGGCAAATTTTTCAGAAAAAAATTTAGTTCCATTACTTTCTTCCAGAAATCTTTCTATTATATTACATAATAGTTGTCACAGCTTCTTGGTATGGACATTGGAGTAGGGGGATGATGTCTTGGCTTCTATTTAAAAAAAAAAATCTGTACTATAATAGTGCCAGGAGATCTCAAAGGTTTGACATCCTCCAGTAAAATCCTCCCAATGGAATTCTTTTTAAAGAGAGAGAAAAAAAAAAAGCAAATCCATGAGTCACAGGGATTTAAAAAAAAAAAAAGCATAGGAACTTGGGGAGAGATATTTCAATAATTTTATTTTAACCTTCATAAAGTGGTCATTATGGAAAGGATTCTTAATGTGACAAAACATGGAGATCATTAGGTATTCTCATTTAGGGAAAATTAAAAAGAATCCAATGAAAATAACACAATGTAATATAAGGTTACATTGTAAAGCAGGTTGCAAGTGACAAAGAAAAAAGACTCCAGCGGTAATCTAGCTGGCCAAATGCAAAAAAGAGATAATATTGTCACTA